CCCCCTTTCCTCAAAACCGCATCCGCCCGCGGGCGAGGAGTTGAGCGGGGATCCGCGCTATACGCGGTGTCTTTCCTACCTTTCCGCGGCGGAGACGCACATCGAGTCCTTCGTCGCCTTGATGCGCGCGTTGGGCGCGACGGCGGGGGAGAACGAACACGGGGCGACCGCCGATCCCTCGCCCTTCTCCCCGACGGCGCGGACGACCGTGGGCAGCAAACCCCCATCCGTGCGGAAGGCGCGGCATGGCGGGGAGACCTTTCCACCCCACAAAAGTAACTCCCCCGTTGTGAGCACCACCAGCTACACCGCGGCCTCCTCGAACGAGTCGAATTCGCCGTCCACGGGTGGGGTTCACGCGCAGGCGCTGGGCTTCCTTTCGCGGATGCAAAAGGAAGTGGCGGCGATTCACGCGCTCCTTCAACAGCACGCATCTGTGGGCATGGCGACGGCTTTTGCGCCCACGAGACCGGCCGGATTTAATTGGCCTGAATATTCATATAAATGATCTAGGGGGCTTCGGCTGGTTCATCTGTATCGGGATTATTTATTGCTATAGGCCAAGGTATTTTGAATGAAAATATTTGGCTTGTGTATAAGCCGTAGGTTCAGAACAAGTCGCAACGTACGGAAGCGTGGAGACAATTGAGGGAGGGTTTAATTCATAGATGTCCATCTTCCTTAACTATGGTGAATTTCGTAAACCACACCTAATAGAAGGATAAGCAGAAGGAATAAAGTTTGTCTCTTTTTTTTTTTTGGAGAATTTGCTGACGCGAGAATTTCGGTGTCTTTTTGCAGAACACACTTTTGTATGTTGCCATTCTTATTCCCTTTTCGTCTTAACCACATGACTCGTTTTCAAGACAAGGAGAGTAACCAAGAAAAAGCGAATTCAGGAAGAGGGAGTATCATTTTTCTTTTTCTAAGTGAACCCTCTTTTTCTATCCATACAAGCTGATAATCAATATGTGAAATTTGGTGAACTCTTTTTATTTTTATATACTAAAAAGCTAGCGCGACAATTCAATTAGGGCGCCCAATCACTGCATAGAATATTATTACAGTTTTAAGCAACATATATATTGATATATATTTACACACGCACAGACGTGATTGCGAAAGCATCACGATCGCCTAATTAGAGTAAACAACACGAAAATATACAGGGAAACGTATCCCAATACGAGAGGTATATTTACCGATGCCTATGCATTCCCCGGCTTCACTCAGTGTGTCGCCACTGTTAGAAAATGGGTCAATTGCAGTGCAATCCTCCTTCGCTTCACAACCCCGTCCGACTATCGCAGGGCAGCTCCCCAACACTGAAGACGACAATCCACCTCAGATGCACCATGTGCGGCTATATGCTGTCTCGCCTACTTTGAAACCGTTAGCCCCTTCCTCTTCGACGTCGCATCCCCACGCCGTTCCCCAGCCTTTGCCCACTCCTCCCGACCAAAACGATGATCCTAGCATAAAAAGCATCGATAGCACAAGCAGGTTAACATCCAGTAGTAGTGAAGACCCTGAGAATGGCATAGCTATGAATATCGAGGGCAGGCTACGCTCCATTTCCACGGATGCGGACAGGAATCACATCACGACCCCTCATCCGCGGCTGGAGCGCTCCCAAAGACGCCACGACACACATTCACCGCGCTCACATCGCATAAAAGAGCTGTTGTCGGACAATATGCAGAAGGCCAAGATGCTAGCCGAGCTCCAGACGCTCTTCGAGAGCCTCACGCGCGATTACGAGCGGGTTTCCGAGGAGTCTCGAGGCAAGTCTCTCACGCTTCGCAGCCTACGGGAGCACGCCGACGCGTTGACGGAGGAGCTGCGGGTTGCTCAGACGCAGTGCTCCCTTCAGGCCGACCAACTCAACCGCTACCGCACCGCACGGGAGGACGGTACAGAAGACTTTCGAAAGCAACTTTCCGCCGCGCGGGAAGAGTGCAAGGAGCTACAACGCGAGCGCAGCAACCTGTTGGAGGGCCACCGCATCCTGCGAAAGCAGCTCGAGGGCCTACAGGAGAGCCTCGAGTCGGCGAAGGAGGACTACGCTCGCCGGCTTAAGCAGAAGCAGCAGGAGATCGAGGCCAGCGTGCGGGCGGGGTTTAAGGAGAAGGAGCAGCTGCTGGAGCTTCGCGAGCAGGAGGTCTCGCGGGAGGCTTGCCGTCTGGAGGAAGGGCTACGGCGCTTCGCCTCGGAGAGCACGGAGGCGAAGGAGGACGTCGTAGCACTCCAATGGCGTTTGCGCGAGCTCGAGCGGGCCTGTGAGAAGAAGGACGCGATGCGATCGCAGCTGGAGCGGACGTTGGACCAGCTTCGTGCGAGGATTGTTGAGTTTGAGAAGACGATCGAAGCAGAGCGGCACACCCATGATCAGCGGCATCGGGAGCTGCAAGCCGGCTGGCGGGCGGAGGTGACGGAGGTGCGGCGGCTTTATGAGATCGCGCAAGCGGACCGCGGACGCGCCGAGGATCTCCTCCGTGAAGCCCACAGGCATCACGATGAAGAGCTCGCGTGTAAGGAAAGGGAGAAACGGGAACTATGGAAGGAAGCGAGTCTTGTTGAGTGGGAGCTTCGCCGCGAGCTGAAAGAACTGAAGGCCGCACACGCCGCCGCCCGCGAGGAGGTCTCGCAACACGCCCTTACCGCTAATCGCGCCCAACGTGAGGCCGAAGCGGTGGTGCGATCGAAACAGCTGCTCGAAAATAATATCGAGTCCCTACAGAAGCAGTTGCAGGATGCGGAACTGGCGAAGTCTCAGCTGGCGGGTCGATTGGAGGTAGCGTACACCAAGTTGGCAGGGAAGGAGAGGGAGGCTGAGGAACTTCGCTGCACCATGGAGCGGGAATGGTGGGCACGGCCGCGGGAGCTTCTTCAAAAAGTAGAACACAAAGATGTTCAAGCAGACTCACATGCGCATCCGTTGCTATGGAAGCATTCTAGTTCAGGTTCGGGTATGTTTGACGAATCCACTGCATCCCCAGAGCAGCGCGAGGAACGAAAAGACCGGGCGAGGGTCGCGTTTGTGGCTTCGTCCATGCCATCATCGGCAGCACCAACACAGCAAGTGAAATATCCGTCGGATAGCGACCAATACAAACAATCCGCCTCATCACAAGCTCAGTTTGCGGCTCAGGTTCGGGGCAATGAGGAGGGAGAGGGGGAAAGTTTCCACAACGTGGGCTACGAACCGGCGCGGCGCCCGCCTTCCATGATGCGAGCCACAGAAAATGGGCTACATCCACCGCAGCAAATGCCCCCCTCCTCTTCACCGAAGGAAAGTCAGGCCCCCAGGGCACGGATGCCGAGTTCCCGAGGACTTGTCGAGAGCATTGAGCGCACTACACGTCGATCCTCGCGAGGTCCCTCCTTTTCCTATTCACCACATCCCTATTGCGTTGACGAAAACGTCTGCAACGACGATACGGACGCTTCGAGCAACGTGTTTCCCTCGCATTATGGGAGAGGATGGGATCATCTGCGGAGGGTGCGCCCACAAGTCCGCACCGCGCGATACTGCGAGTCGGATGACAGCGAAATGAAAGGTGCGGGAGTCTCCGGGGCCTCCTCACGCCTGCACGCTTGGGAGCTCCAGGCGAGGTATTCCCCCGGGCTGTCTTTTTCACAGCCGTATAGGTCCTCCGACCCGTCCCCTCGCATGGGGTCGAAATCGCGAAATTTGTTCAAATCCGATTCCGAGATCTATTTCGACCCCGATGTGATGGATTATTTTCAATCCGGCGTCGCCAAGGCGCCTGGTCGGGCGCGGAGTCCCTCTCAGCCAGCCGTGAGCGGACCGTTGGAGGACCCCCCGGCGACCACCCCGCTTTCGCGGAAGAAAATCCCCACGCGGGCGGGGACGCCGCCGATTCCGGCTGGTTTTGCCTTCCCCAGCGTGGAGGCCGCGGATGGCGTTTCTCCCTCTCCCGGGCGGCCTCACCGGGGGCGGACGAGCTCCCACGCGACGACGCCAACCCCCCTTCCGGAAGGGGAGCTGGGGAGGAGGGGGGGCCCATCCGATGCCCTCTTTGATTCCACCCCTTTCGCGGGACCGCCGTCGCGGTGGTCCCTCGCGGACGTCGAGGGGGAGAGGAGGGTGATGCGGGGGGTCGGATGGGAGGGGGGGAGCGCCCGCCGCCCAGGGGCCCTTTCAATGGGGAGGGAAGAAGATTGCAAAGAGGAAAGCGACGCCGCGCGAGGGGAGCCGAATTTCTGCGTCGAGGCGTTACGCAAAAAATTTGATCGTATATAGCCCCAGATGCTTGGGATTGTGGGGGGGTCTTTGGGTGGTGGCTCGATTCCCGTTTCCTTCCATTTCCCCCCCTTTTTGTGTGTTTCAACAGGCTTAGTTGATGGGATGAAGAGTGTTGTTGGGGTGTATGGGCGTGTTGTGTCCACCACTAGCGTTTCCTCAAATCCACTCTTTATTTTTTTGTCTTGCTAAATCTTCTGTTTATGATTCAATAAACCATCTCTAGATTCATGAAATCCCCTTCAAAGGAAAGAAGAAAAACGGTTAAAAACATCCTGTTACCAGTTGATCTTAGAAAATTGTATCGCTTACTTTGTTGATTTTTTGATGGTCTTCGTGTGACCCCGCACACACAGACATGATATCTTTTTACTCTATTTTTTTCTCTCCTTTTGAACGCAATTAAAATACACTGATCACTTGCCTTCACACATCTTGCACTCATTGAAAGGTTATTGAAAGGTTATTGTAAGTTTTTTTTTTCAAAATCAAATATTTATTTAAATACTATCCATCTATATCGATATCGATATTCAATCCTATTGCTATAAAACATCATTAAGATAAAATTGAACAAACATGTCACAAAATTTGACCAAAAAATGCATCGCTACGGCTAATGCAGGAATTCACGTCAACCCTCGCGTTGTGAAGGCTCAGTATGCCGTGCGCGGCCTGATCCCTACTCGTGCGAAGGAGATCCAAAAAGAAATCATGGACGGCTCGACAAAATATCCTTTTTCAGAGTTGGTGTGGTGCAATATTGGCAACCCACAGGCTTTAAGTCAAAAGCCTCTCACCTTCCCTCGGCAGGTGATGTCGTTATTTGATGCGCCGTTTCTCTTGGATATCCCTGCGGTATTGGAGCACTACCCGCCGGATGCGGTGGCTCGTGCGCGGGAGTACCTGAAGGATGTGAAGAATGTCACTGGCGCGTATACGGACTCATTCGGATACACCTTTGCACGGAAAGCGGTCGCGAAGTACATCAACGAGCGCGATCACCACATCCGGCCCGAGTCGACCTACCATAACGTTGTTTTGACAGACGGGGCGAGCACTGGGCTCCGCTTCATCCTGGAGGTGATGATGGCGGCGCCGACCGACGCGACGTTGACGCCGATCCCGCAGTATCCGCTGTATATTGCCGTGCTCAACCTGCTCGACGCACACGTCGCACCCTACTACCTAAATGAATCGGATGGCTGGTCTATGACTATCGATGAGCTGGTCAATTCCTACAACAAGAGCGTTTCAGAAGGCGCCACACCTCGGGTGTTCGCCTGTATTAATCCCAGCAACCCTACGGGAAGCGTGCTTCCTCGTGGGATGATGGAGGATATGGTGCGATTCTGCCACGAGCGGTCGTTGATGCTGTTGGCGGACGAGGTCTACCAGTTGAATATCCACGCCCCAGGGCTGAAGTTTGTAAGCTTCCGAGAGGTGATCTTGTCGATGCCGGAGCCGTATAAGTCGGAGACGATGTTGATCTCCCTGAATTCAACTTCGAAGGGCATCCTGGGCGAGTGTGGACGGCGTGGGGGGTACCTTGAGATGCTGAACATCCCGGATGTGGTATACCAGCAACTGACCAAGTTGTGCTCGATGAACCTATGCTCGAATGTGAATGGGCAGTTGATGACGGCGCTAATGTGCGACCCGCCGCGGAAAGGGGACCCGAGCTACGAGTTGTATATCTCTGAATACCAAGGGATTGAGGACAGCCTGCGCGCGCGTGCGGCGTTGCTAACAGAGGAGTTCAATCAGATTCCAGGAATTAAATGTCAGGTGGTGTGTGGTTCGATGTACGCGTTTCCAACCATCGTCCTGCCTGCGAAATGGGCTGAGTATAACGAGATGCAAAACAAGGAGGAGGGACGCAGCCTGAAGCCCGATGAGCGTTGGGCCCTGGATCTTCTGGAAAAGACCGGAATTGTGGTGGTCCCGGGGTCTGGATTCGATCAGGTGCCCGGTACCTTTCATTTCCGCACGACAATTTTGCCACCAACTGAGAAGATGAAGGATGTGGTGCGGAAAATGCGTCAATTTCAGGAAGAATTCTTCGCGAAGTTCGGATAAAGGGTATTTTTTTTTAGAAAAACTTTTAAAAAATGTCTTGTGTGTTTAAGGAGGGGTATGTAATACCTAAAGCTTTTGTATTTTGATATACATATTAGAAGCGTCTTATTAATTCCTTATGTTTTATAGGCACAAACAAAAGTCATAAGAACGAATTTCTACCCTATTTTTGTATATTTATGAATTGATCGCATTTTACAACTATCTTTTACTTCAGTAAGCCAATTATATGCTGATCTGTTTTCTTATGCTTTTGTTTAACCAAATTCAATTCGTAGTGAACGGAAACAGGTACCAAACAGATAGTGTTTTAGTTTGAAAAATTATCACTAATAGCAACCAATGATAGAATAAAGTTTAGTATAACATGATAATATTTACGTAAGGCTCAATTATTCGTATTCACACTTCCTTTTTCCAAATTGGGGATGTACTATCCACAATATTTCTAGTATTAGAAATCTTTTGGATCTTAATGATGGCGTTGTAGGATACCTTTTACGTTGACTCATGTTCGTTTTTATTTTTAATCAAATCTGTGTATGCTGTTAAGTTTTTTTTACGGCTGTATTTTATTAGACAATTGTATGATACTGGGATAAAATCACGAATTATAAAGCCACCTGGAAATTATTACATTTTTTTCTTTTTTTTTTTGGGGGGGGCAAGACTCTGCAACTGTTAAACCAAGGAAATAACCTTTCTACATGATTACAGCGAACTTTTAAAAATTCCCCGATGCTTTCTGATTTTCATACAGACACCACTAAAGGAGTTTGGAAGGTTTAAAATCGGGTGATATGTAGTTCCATGCAAATGGCAGACTTTTGTTTTATTTCTTCTCTTTCGAAATGATCTCTGTGCTTTGCGTCCGTGTTCAGATTGCTGTCGTTCCTCGCCGCTTATTTCTGAGCATAGACTGCCTTTATGAGTTTTATTGATTGGATTGTCGACCGCCTTGGCTGACTTCCCTCGACTTTACGCGATGAACCAGAGTGGCGGCCGTGGTCTTCCTCCACGTGAGAGCGCTACTGCATCAAAAAGCCTGTGTGCATGTGTTTAATTTTTTTCACTTCGCTTGTTACGTGGTTTCCCGATTCCCAAATGGATTTTCACCCACCGCTATCTTCGTATGCCTTTTTACTTTTGCTCATGGTGCTGACGGCTCTAGAAGCATTAATTTATGGATTCCCTTCTCTCCCCCTCCTGGAAGGAATCACTAAAGGATTCCTCCTGATTCTCCAGAACGTAGGTGTGTGTGTCGTGCATGGATGGGTGCAAGCACCATTTTTATTCAGTAACACTCGACTAAAGTTTACGACAGGGCTGAGGACAACATATACCTTAAAGACGCGGCAGGACTGAATGAATGAGAGGGGATATATCGACCTGGAGGGTGTGGTTTAGGATAATGCCGATGGTTTATCACGTGGGGGAATGCGCCAACGTAATTTTTTTTTGTTGAGGGGCGACGAATCACATAGTGAGATGAAGGTGGATGCTTTACTCCCATCGTTTATTGTTCCTGGTACTTATGAAGCTCATCTTTCCACTATTTTCATTATCTCTTTTTTTTTCTCTCCAGTTAATAGTGTTAGAATTGAGACCTCCCTCCCCAACATTTATCCATATACACAAACCAAAAATTCAACATAGATAAACAAAATAGAAAATTAAGTATATATATATATATATATATACAAAGGTATTTGGCGAGCATCTACAACGTCTAGAAAACTAGAGTGTAGTCAACGTCAGGAGACTAAATACACATAGATATATCCTTTTCCTTTTCTATTTTTTGGTGTAGTATTTATATTTACTTTTTGACGCACTAGAACTTATTGCAGTATTCTGCATTCCGAAGAATTCAGCCGTTTCATTGAAACGGCAAACACAAAAATACCGTACCGAACCTCTTTTATATATATATATATATAGATCAATTTTTTAAATCTACATACTCTGCATTCATAGTTTCCTAGCCTGTATCTCGTAGCGGTGTTGCCCGGGTCCCTTGACTTGCGTTTCGTTGCATCAAGCCTCTTCTTTGTGCCTTTTACTTGAGTGACTTGGTGTGTCCTTTTGAAAATTTTTGAGTGTTTGTACTCAGATTACGCACCCAAGGCAGCTTTGACGTATTCTTATATATATATATATAGTTCTTAGGCTTAGTTTCCCCCCACCTGCGTCGAGGCACACCGGTCCTAAATCCACGGAGAAAGGGTGAACTCAACCCAGTATGCTCCATCGCTCAATTACAAAGCTTTTAGATCGATTGAGAGGGGGCGTCGCGCCGCGGTTGTTTCGCACGACGGCCTGCCTTCGGTCGCCCGCATCTGCGAGCCGGCGATCATCCAACGGGCGCGCAGGCGCCACCTCGGCGATCCCTACGGGGGCGATAAAAACCTCTCCGAAGGTGGCAACCCCTTCGATAGAGGGTGACGATGACGTTCTCGTGATAACAGCAGGGGGGAGGCCTTATCGAAAGGGGCTGGCGGCATCCAAACGCCTTATCACGCCGCCTATCCCGGATGCGGCGACTTTTTCCACCCGAGCGGTGGAGTTCGAGCCCGAGGCGTTGAATCGTAACGATGAGGTGGCAGATGGGGTGCCCTTTTCTCGCGAGGAGGATGCCGAGGTATCTGCAGAGACCTCGAGCGCGATGCGGCGTGCACAATCCTTGCTTCACCCCAAACCCCACGGCCGAGGTCGGCCAGGCGATTCTTTTTCCACCCGCCCGAGAGAGGATTCTACGCCGGAGGCAGCTCCCTCGGATGACACCCTCTCCACCTCCACCGGGGTCTCGCTTATCAATCCATTTTGCGGGCTCCACGCCCACCTCGCGCGGACCTACCGCCTGGAGCAGTTTGCCGAGGATACCACCCCGGCGGATGTGATTTTTGCGAAGCAGGAGGCGAAATCCGCGGCCTTTTCCTTCCTCCGGTTTAAAGCCTCGCCGGAGTTGTACGACGCGCACTGGGCGGTCGCCGCGGGGATGAAAGGGCAGCTCGAGGCCATCCAGCAGCAGGTAGCCACCGCCGGTAAGCGCGCCACGCATCGTCTTTTTAATAATGATCTCGGCGTGCAGAGCCTGCGGGTGGCGACGAGCTACCCTTTGTTAATCGCGCAGCGGTTGTTGCTTTTTCCGGATAATTTGCGGCATTGGCATACCCTCTGCGGGCGGGATCGCGTGCCTTGTGATTTCTACGCCGACGTCGACCTCCCTGGGGAGACCGCGGAAGGGGGCGAGCAGGTTTTGCTCGAGATCCTGAACTACCTCGAGGTGCGGCTCCCGGGGATCGGCTTCACCGATCCGTTCTTTCTCATCCTCGCGAACGCGTCGTCGATGCAGGAGGACGCGCGACGAGGGCGAGGGAAGATTTCGTTTCATCTGCATGCCCGATCGATGACGTATCGCGCGGATTACCTCGCCCTCGGCGCGCAGCAGCTCGGGTTAATCGGAGGGGCGACCTCGCCGCAGAAGACGACCAGGCGGGTGTCGAAATCGCGTCGAAAGCGCCCCTCCTCCGAGGCTGAAAAGGTCGTGGAGGTTGCCGAGGAGGGGGAGGCCGAGGAGGATGATCTTTCCGATCTCGTGAACGTCGTGGAGGGCGGGGGCGCCACCCAAGGGGCCGTTTCACCTCCAAAGGTGGTCGCCTTTGAGGATTACCGCACCGTTCGCCTCCTCGCCGATGAGGTGAATCAGACGCTCGGAAAGGCGGTGATTGACGATAATTGCTACCGCGCGCACGGGATGCTGCGGTGCGCGTTCAGCGCGAAGTTGCGCGGGCCCGAGGGCGCTACCGGGGGGCTGCAACCCCTCCTCACCGCCAAGGATCCCGCGCTTCAAGCGAAGCTAAACGCGATGCACGCGCGGCTGCGGGGGTGGACGGATCCGGAAATCCTGGAGATGAGTTTCTGCGGGCGCTTTTTGAACGACCCGGACGCCGCCCGGCGGGGGGGGCGGTATCTTAAAACGGAACTCCTCCCAAAACTCCCGATGCGGACGCGTCGCGCGGCGATCGCGGCGGCGACTTCGGGGAAGGCCCCTTCGCCGGAGGTGGCGGATCTCCTCCAGGCCGCCGCCGCCACCTCGCGGCATCGATTTAAACTCCTTCGCCTTCGCCACATTCGCGGCGGCGGGGCCGGGGAAGGGCAGGAGTACGACGCCCACGGCAATTTGGTTTCCCCTTTTCTCACGGAGGCGGCGAAGTGGCGGCGATTTCGGCAGGTCGTCGCGAAGCTGCAGTCGCTGCCCCCGCACGCGGCGGATTCCTTCGACGTCTGGGTGCGCGTCGGGCTCGCGCTGCATAATTTTAGCAACGAAGATCACGTCTTCGATGAGTGGGTGCGGTTTTCGATTCGGTGCCCACAGAAGTTCTCGCGGGAGGCGTGTCGGAAGAAGTGGGTGCAGTTTGAGCGCAACCCCGATGCCCTGAACTGGCGACGTGGGTTTAACTACCTCAATTCGACCATCTGGAAGCAGGTTTGAGATCGCGTCGAGGTCCACGATACCTAATAAGCCGCGGGTCCTTTTCCTTTTAGATCCTTTTCAAAGGAAAGGGAAATCCGCTGACTCTCAATTGGTGTTAGAATACAACCGAAACCTTCATAGATCAATGGTATCACTTTTCTGTTTTTCCTTTTCCATCCTCTTTAGCGGTGAGGGGAGGCGGAAAAAAGGCATCTGTGAGGGGCCCCGTACGCAGGGGGGGGGGGGGTCCCTTGGTTAAGTGTGCATTTACACGCGTCCTTGCGTATCCTACCCATGCATTCATATATATATATATATGTTGTTAATTTTACATTCATATAAATGGTCTCTTTCATGGATTGAAAGCAGGCCTATCTTTTTATAGATGTACATGTAGTCTTATAGGTTGGATATCGGAGGTATTTTTCCTCTTTTTTTCCAAAGTATCTAGTGGAATGATTAAACGAGGAGAGAGGTCAAGTCCCTAAACACTTTTTCTCTCCTCCTTTCTTCCCCTAGCGAGAAAAAAAAAGTGCTAAACCAGGGCCACCACGTATCATTATGGATTACATCACAGCTTGGTAAATAAGAGCTATATTCTACTATTTGATGTTGCTTGATAGATTCTCACTTTCGCCGTTTTCTTTTTTGATGGGATGTAGGGTCTGGTCTCGCCAGAGGTTTGTATATTTTGGACTTCTCGGAGTGATGAAAGTGAGGTGAAGAAGAGCCATACACTGTAGAAATGCCGTTCCTGTTTGTTGTATCTCCACGGAATACCAATCTTCTATCCCTTTTCCGTGAATGATGTGTTGTTTGAAAGTGTTGATTTTTTATCTAGGCGCTCACCCAGTATCTCTTTTTATACACGCCCTCACGCGTGTATATATGCGTAGGTATCCATCTATACACGCCTATATATGTATATCAATATATATTCATATATATAGTTATATATATACGTGAGCGACTTCTTTGTTTGCTTAATCAAAGTTTCTATTCCTAAAGTCCTTTTCGATATCTATCTATCTATCTATCTATCTATATCTATCGATATAGATAGATAGATCAGTTAAAAAAAATTCATTGTCGTGTGTGCCATTCCACCCTCCTCGCTCCCTATTCCACCCCCGGGACGAACGGGGCGATTGGGTTGAATTCCATCCCCGCGCGACCACGGACGCCGCGACGACGCCGCCGGCTCCCTCGCGGGCCGGCCGAAGCCCGCCGCCGGCGGGTCCTTCTCCTTCGCTCGATGGGGACCCCCCGCCCACGACGCCGTCGGCGGGTCGACGGAGCCCGGACGCCCCCCCGCCC